GATTTTTTTTTTTGTGGTTTATGATATATTCGTCTCCGTGTATTTTGCCTCCTCTTTTCCTCAACAAATACAGAAAATTCTATCGAAATTACTTGAATACTTAAAGTATCAAATTATTTTTCTGAGCATTTAAGTACCAGTGGACGGGGATTTTTCGGAACCTGGATACTTGAAATGTGCTACACGCTTCAGAATAGTATTTCAATTTTTTGTTTTTGGTGTTATTTCCCTATTACGGCCGAGTTTTCAGCCCAGATTGAATAGTTTTTTTTTTTTCAGGGAAGAGCTAGAAAGCCTTGCAGACATTGTTCGTCGCCATAATTTATTGGTTGTAGCGGATGAGGTGTACGAATGGCATGTTTATGATGGGAAAAAAATGATTCGTTTTGGTAAGTCTGATTTTTCGGCTTCTATAATCCAGGCCCTCCTAAAACATCGAGAAATCAGAGGTTTTTGGGGAAATATACGCCAAAAATGAAGCACCGAATTACAGCCCCTTGTGGTCATTTTAGCATTTTTTGATCATTTATGAATTACATTTCTTGTATGGTCATTTTTAGCAACCCTGCCGGATATGTATGAACGAACAATAACGATTGGTAGTGCCGGAAAAGCATTCAGCGCTACTGGTTGGAAGCTTGGCTGGTCAGTTGCACCGGCCGATTTGCTTGAACCACTGCGAAGAATTCATCAAAATTGTGTATTCACTTGTTCAACACCAACTCAGGTTTTTTTTTAAAACTTTTTGGATTGGCTAGTTTCCTTACTTAGTTTTGACTGTTTCTAGTGCAAAAATGTGATTTTTGATCTTTCGAAATTCTTGACAGATGGGAGGCTGTACTGATGTTTCCCATTCCTGGCCGTATCTTAGCCGTGAAACACAAACTCCCATAAATGACATTTTGTTCGGCCGATTATAGTTGATATCGCACAACAGCAAGATTTGATTTCAGGAAGCAGTGGCTCAGGCCTTTGAAAAAGAGCTTGATATTATGGATTCGAATGTGGCAAAGAGCTATTTGTTGAATGGTCTAACATCCGATTTGGTTCAAAAAAGAGATCGCATGGCATCAATTTTGCGTAA